CCCAATATGTTTTTAAATATATACATTACTAGATTAAATAATATACTAGTACATTACTAGATTATAGGCAATGTTTTAATAATTTAATTTTAAATAAATGGAGGAGGTACATGGAACACGCTGTGAAAATCTAAACAAAATATCTCATTACTGGGCAATCCATTGACTGGTTATACCATCGTTGGAATGGACTGTAATCCATTGAAAATGAAAGGCACTTTTAATCATGCCTCATCAGTCAATAACGATCTTCATCTTTACCATATGGATAACGGCGTCTACAAGTCCAGGTAACGATGACAGTTGCCATCCCATGGTAAATCGCGAAAAAAGATTCACTCCGTCCCCATTAAATACGACTGTCGGCCTACATGTTATGTAATTAATATCTGATCTAATATATTACGTACCTACCTATGTGGTTGACTACGGTTACGGATAGCTAAGTGTAGAGTACGAAAAGCTAAAAAAAATCATAAATGTAAAGGAAAATCATCCAAGAGCAATGCTGAAAAGCTACCGCCTCAATATAACAAAAATTACATGTGGGACCTTGCTATCATGTAGCTAACGGCAACGTCCTCGTCATCAACCACACCAGAGTGCAGCAACACGAAATGTGCTGTACATACACTCATCGCTACTGACTGATTTGAATGTGTGGTTTAATACAACTTGTAGCCTACATTTATTTCCTGTAGTATCTGATCTAGACTAGGGCATAGGCCTACACACACACGTACCCAGTCAGCCTGTTCGTCTTCGTCAGGCCAGCCTGCATTACAGTACATTGACACGAAATGTGCTGCACATCTCTACTAACTAATTTGAATATTATGTGGTTTAATACACATAAAAGCAACTTTTAGCCTACATTTCCTGTTATCTGATCTATTACACACATACTACCCAGCCAGCCTATTGGCCTAGTTTGTCTTCCTCTAGCTCTAGGCCAGCCTGCATTACAGTAGTGTACATTGTTTATCTCTCAGGGGAGAGACCACCCACCCTTGCAAGCACCACAAAACGGTTCATTATTCGCTACCAACTAGACTCGTGCAGACGCATTTATTAGCCGCAAAGCTTACCATTCCAGGCCATGATTGGTTGATAAACACAATGTGGAATATACAGGCGATTTGCAATCTGATCAATGACGAACACGCTTTCATAGGAAACCCAACGTAGTGTTAAGAAATATGATAAAAAAACATAATTTTCACATATTTCCCGACAATATTTTCGCAAAAACTCTTCATACTTTAAATTCCCCACACCTTATCTTCCATATTATTGCAAGATCGGCCTAATCGCGTCACAAACGGAGGAAGAGATAGAAAAACAAATGACTTCAAAATTCGCTCAGAATCATCATATAAGCCCCCTCTCTCAGAGAGTTTTCAACTTTCATGGCAACCTGACAGACTGTAACTCTGATCCAATCGGCGTTATGGTCCAAGAGGAGATTTACCCATTAATTATCCAGATCAAGATCCAGATCTTGGGTAGACAAACTTTGTGAGGTTCAGAGGGATTATAAGAGTTCATGGTGAAACAAGTGGTAGACACCCCTATGATATACAGTATGCCATAAAGTTTGTTTTAAGTTCCACCAGGCGAAGAATTAAAGTTGATCATAATTGTGTGTAATACTGTAAGAAAAGTTGGACAGATTTAGGTACGAACAGCACACGCGAAAATCAGAATTGTACGTTCGAACGATGCGGTAGCAATATACCTTCCATGCTATAGGCTTACATAACTGTTCATCCATACGACACTTTAAAGTCATTTTCATAAGCATCCATAACGTTTTTGTGTCGGGCAGTAAGCACAGCTGTCGACTGGCAATTGACCTTGTAATAGTAAATCCGGTGAAGGGATGATGGGATGCATGAAAAGCCAAGATAAAGAGTAAGTTAGGACTATATCTGGCGCTCCACCGCGGTCTCATTCCTCTAGGTTATTCTCAATTTTAAATTTGCTCAAACTCTCTGATTTTCACATGTTTTTTGAATGTCTAAAAAATAGGATATTATGGGAAAATATAGACAATCTATTTAAGAAACTTGATACATTGTTAATGACTTTGTTGAAGTTGTCCTTATTCCGATTGTAAAGAATAAGTTAGGTGACGTCACGTCAACAAATAACTATCATCCAATTGCATTAGCCTCTGTGTTGTCCAAACTGTTCGAGCTCATACTGGTCGATTTCTGTAAAGATAATCTTGAAACTGACTATCAGTTTGCTTTTAAGCCCAATCACTCCACGTGAGACGTGCGTTTTTGTTCTTAAACAAATTATTGAATATTATCAACGGCAATGGTAGCCCAGTTTATACTTGTTTCTGAGATTCGAGTAAAGCTTTTGACCGTGTGAACCACTGGTCACTTTTTGACAAATTGATTAAGAAAAACGTTCCTTTATTTGTTGTTAGAATCATACGCGAATAATATGATAAGCAGAGGTTCTCAGTCCGATGGGGTCTTAATACCTCAAGAGTGTTTAAAGTTTCAAATGGAGTGAGGCAAGGTGGAGTCCTGTCTCCTTTCCTATATAATATCTATATGAATGACCTTAATATTATTCTTAGTAACTCTAGATATGGATGTGAATATGCTGAAATGAAATTCAATCATTTAAGTTACGCCGATGACATGGTTTTGTTGGCTCCGTCGATGGACGGATTGCAGCATCTTGTGCAACTATGTGAAATTTACGCCAATGGGCATATTATATAC